AAAAAGTGGGGTGTGACCATTATGTGAAACTTTTTAAAAAATTGGGCTATATTACTTAAACATCATTTATTACTAAACTGTCTTTGGTGCAAGATTAGGATGCACAGAATACTCGTGAATATACATTAAATTAGAATAGTCCAAATCGATGCATATCATTTCTTCATGACAGTTCAACAAATATTTTCCTGGTCTGAAACATAAAGTTAACACATTAGTTGCTATTGATTTATGCGTTATAGTTGAATTATTACACTTGAGAAAATTTACTACACTGTTGCAAAGTACGGACTTACAAAATTTAATCTTCTGTGTCCAAATATTCTGTGCTGCTCTCATTGGTTTTGTTATCTGATGCTCTGTCCTCAGTGCCATTCATATCAGATGTGTTTACTTTGTCATCATCCATGCTCTGCCATAGTCCAACATCTTTAGTTCCATCTGGTACATTCAAAATTCCCATCTTTTGGGGGCAGTTAGGTGGCCCTGGAGTCACGAGGATCTGAGTTCAAATCCAGCCTCAGACACATGATACTTATTAGTTGTGTGAGCTTAGGCAAGTCACTTAACCTCCATTACCTCATTAAAAAACAAAGAAAAAAGAAAAGCTCTTGGGGCGGAGCTAAGATGGCAGAGTAAAAGCAGTGACTTGCTTGAGCTCTCCCCTAAACCCCTCCAAATGCCTGTAAAAAAAAATGGCTCTGAACAAAATTCCCATCTTTTTGAAGCTTTTGACAACTGTTTTGTATGATACAAACTCCCAACTCTTAATTGCCCATGTATATAACAGTTCCAAGGAAGGGTGCTTAATATTTCCAGTGAGTATCAATTGGTGATTCCCACTCATTATTCATTCATTGTAGAAATGGAGCAAGTGATATTTAGCTGGTTTGTTTACATATAGACAATGTGTGTGCACTGAAAATTCACGATGTGTGAGAGATAAATGGGTATCCACGTGTCATTGGTGAATACAATGCTGCTCTGTTTACCTTTTAAGCACCATGATGAACAGAATTATACCATGTGACAATTACTCAATGAAAGGTTATAAACCAATTTTTGGACTGAAAAAACAGGGTGCTACAATTATGCAGTGGTGACAATTAATGCAGTGAAATATGGGATACTTTGCCTGATACAACCATTCTTTTTTACTTCAGCTTATTAAATGCTATTTCCATTTCCTCCATGAGACAATGTTTGTAAAATGTTTTGTAATTCCCCAAAGTTGGTCAGCTATTACTATAGAACACATTTGGTACTGAGGTGTTGGAGTCCTAATGTTGTGATTCCATTGTCATCCCTAAGGAGAATAGATGGCCTTAGAGACTCTGGCAACAAAACAGTTTCAGTTTGGGGGAGAGGAACAAGGGGAAGGGAATAAGCATTTATATAGCACCTACTATGTACCAAGCACTGTGCTAAGCACTTTGTAAATATTATCTCATTTAATACTCAAAACAACCTTGCAAAGTAGGTGTTGTTATTATCCCTATTTTATTGTTGAGGAAACTGAGGCAAACAGAGGTTAAATGACTTGCCTAGGGACACGCGGCTACTAAGCGTCAGAGGCCAGAGTTGAATTCAGAACTTCTTAACTCCAGTCCCAGTACTCTATCTACTACACCATCTACCAGTTGACATGCCATCTATATTTTAGCTTCATGTCCTAGGCAAATTTGATAATCATCAGTCCATCTATGTCCTCATCTAAGTCATTGATTGTAAATATTTATCAGAATACTGACAGAGGCAAAATTAATATTTAGGCACTTTGCTAGAGATGTTTCACTGGACTCTCTGGGACCAGTTGGTCAGTCAGTCTTTTCTGAATCCATGTAGCTGTTTACACCTCTCCACCTTGACAAATTGTGAGAGATTTTTGCCAAAATGCCTTGCTGAAATCTGGGCACGTTATATCTATGACATTTCATTATCTTAAAAACTTTTTAAATAAGAAAATGAAATGTAGGCTACATGAGTGGTGTCCAACTCAAATAGAAGTAGATCCTGGCAGCTTCATATTGACTTAGAAACCCACAACTTAACATAATCTATGTTGTATTGTGTTTTTGTTTATTTTGTTAAACATTTCCCAATTATGTTTTAATCTGGTCCGGCTGTGGAACTTTCAGGTCCAGAATTTAATACTCTGGACTATGTAATATATCCATTTCACAAATGTGAAACTAGGACTGAGAAGCCAAAATGTCCAATGGAACATTAAATAAGAAAATATATGTGAAACTCATGGCAAACCTTAAAGTCCTATATAATGATAGCTGCTGTTTCTTCTTTTTCTTCTTTTTCTCATTTTCCTCCTTATTCTTTTTTCCTTCTCCTTTCCTTGTCCTCCTCCTCCTTCTCTCTCTCTCTCTCCCTCCCTCACCTTCTTCTTTCCTCCTTCTTTCTCCCCTCCCTCCCTCCTCCTCTTCCACAACAACCCTGTGAAATAGGTAGTTCATTTAGTTTTATTTTCATTGTATAGATGAAGAAACTGAAGCTAAGTCAGATTAATTGACTCACTTTGGTTTACACAACTGGTAAATGTCAGAGCCATAACTCTAAACAGGACTTTTGTGATTGCACATCTAGTACTTTGCCCAATATACCATATGTTTCCATACTCTTCCTCCAAGGAGTTCATAGAACTTTATGAATAATTATTTGAAAATCAAAGTAATTTTGCCAGCACCCCAGTGAGGAAGGTACATTTCAGGGATAATGATTCATGTCTTGAGACTGCTATTCCTGCATTTTAGTTTCCTGGAGGCCTTAGAAGTATTTTTTCAAAGTTGCTGCATTGATTTAAACTCCATTTGGAAATGGCCATTTAAATGAAAACCCATGTGGTCCCTAGAAGTATATGCTACAATTGCCTACAAGCAGCCTGTAGCTGCCAAAGTCTTACTCTTTAAGAAAGTGTGTTCCTTTCCCACACTCCCACATGTAATTTTAACTGTGATGTTTGTGCAATACTATATTTTGGGGAAGAAAGAAAGAGAGAGGCAAATGTGAGAATGTCTGTGTGAAATTCCTTCCTTAACTTCCTTCTCCATAGCCTGTCCATTTGAATCTGGAAAATGATGACTGTACCAGTTAATTCTAGGAAACTGCCACTTAAAGTCTGGTCAGGAGAAGGTTTTTCCCCCCTCTTTTTTTCATAGGTTGCAAAGAAAAAGATTTCTTCTTTGGAACAAACTTTGAGGTAGCTCAGAGAAATCCAACAACTTCAAAACTTTGGAATTCTTCCCGCTGCTTCCGCCTAACCCACCAAATATTTTGTCATCTTTTTCAAACAAATTATAAACTTGCCTTATTTTAGCTACCCTTCTTTTTCCTTTCTCCCATTATGAACATAGAGGTCAACAGAAACGAAGGCAACAAAAGATAAAAAGAAAAGACGAGTCTCTCAAACCTACAAACTTGCCAATTGACCCACAAATGGTTAAAGAGTTGACTGTTTAGATTTATGGTCTTGGTGTTTATGCTGTTGCCCTTTGAAGGGTGCATGAAATGCTAAGTTTGATTCCATATGTTGGGGGAGGTCTAGAGAAATTAATTTTTTAAAATTACGGTCCATTGAGATTAAAAGAACAAGACTATAAAAATGGGAGTTCTTTTGTAATAGTGGAATCTGTCACCATCTGTGAATTTGAAAGAATAGTGAGATGTTAGTTTATAAACATAGTACTGAGGACACAAATAGTGTGATGGGGGATTGCCAAAGTCTTTTAGCTACTTTCTTACGGAGAGCAGTAATTTGTAGCACAAAAGAGAATGCTGAAATATGCTGACATATATGAAGATCTACAGAACTGTTTATTCCCATTGACCACCCACGACTGGAATTATTTCTTAGGAGTGTTACTAAAAGGAGAAAGAGGTCTATTCATACAAAAATATTCATAGCAGTTTCATTTTTAATAGGAAAATTCTGACAGTGGTCTAGTGATTTGAGAATAATTGAATAAATTGTGGCATATTGGTGGAATGGAGTATAATTGACAAATTAATGAAGATGCAGGGAAATAGAGAAAGATTTTCAAAAAATGATGCAGAACAAAGAATCAGAACAACATTCACACTAAGGACAATGATATTTTTAAAAGCAACAAAATCAATCAACCAGCGAACATTTTTATTGAGTACCTTCTATGTATCAGACACTGCTAAATGCTAGAGATACAAAGAGCTAAGAAAAGATTCATAGAGCAAACAAGATGCAGCAAACTGCAAAAATTTTGGAGTTTGTGGTTTTGTGTGTGATTTTGTTCCTTTTGTTATTGTCGATTTGTTCATTTTTGTCGAGATAGTAAGATTATAACAAAAAAATTATTTACAACAACAAAAAAAAGAAAAGAACTCTGACTTCATTCATTTTACTCTGGATTCACCAAGTGGAGAACAAGCTGCTAAAAATCTTTTTGGTTTGGTAAATTTTTTTTTATATAGATTTAAATTCTGAAGAAAACTGGTAATAAATCCTCAGGCCTCTTACCATTCCTATTTGTTTCTTTGTATCAATCCAGCTCTCTCAGATCAGTGACCAGGGTGTCTTAAATTCATTCAGGACGGTTTTTTCCCCCAGAGCTTATGTAGGAGTGGAGAGAATTTGGCTCATTAGTGGTAGTACACCAGAGCTTTGCAATCCTCCCCAGCCTTAGAATAAAGTGCTCTTCTACTTCAATAGTTAAATTGTCCTGATTGTTATCTGTGAAGGACTCACTTCATTAATTATATCAAATGAGATACTGTATTTAATGTGTTATACAAATTCTAAGTGCTACATAAATGTCAATTATTGTTATTAGAGATAATGGGAATAGCAATTCAGTATTGAGTACAAATGACACAGTAGGCACTATGTCTTTTGCATTTTGTGGGGTGGTTGTCATGAGTGCTCAATGAGTTTTTAATGTTTTTTTTTCAATGAGTTTTAAGAAAATAATATATGTAATACTGATTTTAAATTGCCTTTGGATTTTTTTGTACAGGTCTCTACAAATGGCCTCATTGCCATGAGTGAACCTCCTCTTGAAGAAGCCAGCCCTGGTCGATTTCCACCTTCCTTTGGAGCTGTTGCACCCTTCCTGGCTGACCTGGACACCACAAATGGTGGAAAGGTTTATTATCGGGAAGATTCTTCCCCTGCTATTGTTCAACTAGCTGCAGATTGTGTCCGAAAAGGTTTCCCTGAGGTCTCTTTCCAACCCCAGAGTGTGGTGGTGGTCACCTGGGAATCCGTGGCTCCTTATCAAGGGTCAGAAAGGGACCCTACTGAGCAAGGCAAGGTAAATATATTCTGTTGGGTTCCAGCTCATATCTTAACATACTGGTCAGTTAGTCAACAAGCTTTTATTAAGTATTATGTTCCTGGTACTGTGCTAAATACTGGGAATACCAAGAAATATGAAATCATGGTCCCATAAGGATCTCATATTCTAGTAGAGGAGACAATATGCAGATATCTAGGTAAATATAAGTTTTGTACATACACATATGTACAGTGTATATAAAGGTAATTTGAAAGGGGAAAGCATTAGCTGCAGATACCATAAATAAGGAGAAATTTAACGAGGATAAATAGAAAGTTTTCAAGAAATATTCCTTTCTTTAGTGAAAATTTGTCTTTCTTTGTATCATCAGCCTTAGCATAGTGCCTGACATATAATATAAGTGCTTAGTAAATATCTATTGACTGACATCAGCTTGTACTTTAGTTGTCAGTGAAAAGCAGTGAGTATATAAAATAAAATCGAATATGACTGTCCATGGTGTAGTACCACCTCATGGGTAAAATAATTTTATAGTGAAATCCTTTAAGTATTTCCATAAATTAACCTCCAAAAATGGAACCCAAGACAGATCTGCCTGATTCTGAATTCAGTGATATTCCTTTTGAGAGTTAGTGTCTCTATCTACGTTCACTTGTTACTTAAGCAGAATAGCCATACAAGTCAGCACTGGTCTCAAATTTTAATTAAAAATGATTTCAACACATTGGCAAAATGTTTAAACATGTACTGGTTGGACTGGTGGTCATGTTTGCTGGCCTGAGTTTTTTTGGGTACTTTATCTGCAAGGCTCTATAAATTGTATTGTTTTTATGGTGACTAGATAGCTATAAACACAATTTGTCTTTGATGAGCATTTTACTCAAATGGATCTGTGATCTCATTAACTCTTCCCATGGATGCAGATACAGTATCCATCTGTGCCTGCCTATCCTGTGTTACTCTCGTTCATTTCCACTCAAAGGTTCATCATAGGAGGTCCATCCCATGTATAACAACAAAACAAGTGGTGATTTAAAAGCTTAAGAAACTTACTACCACCTGGCTATGCTTATAGATATATACCACATCTTTAGTGGATTTCTATTAGAACATCAGATCAGAAATAAAACTTAAAATACCAAAGGTTTCATGATGGGTAAGTCTTCTGTCCTAATCTAGTCAATTGCGTTCTTATAAAGAGAATAATAGTCACTCATGTTTAATTAGCACTTAAGAAAGTGCTTTTTCTATAAAAAATAAACATATTCAATTCAATAAGCATTTATTAGGTGCTGATTATGTGACAGACACTGTGCTGTGCTGGAGATACAAATAAGAAAAAGATAAGACGGTCGTTGCCCCAAAGGAGCTTACAGTCTAATGGGAGAAGACAACATACAAGACAAAAGAAAACATGCTAAAAGCACAGGATGGAGAGAGCTAGGTGGGAAAAGCTATGATATTTCAAGGAGTGAAAACCAAGCAGTTCTACTGATGGAAAATGGAGTTACCTGGAAAGTTCTGAGCCCTCTATAAAGGAAGGCTCTAGGAGGAGTTTATAACTTATTTATATATACATAATATACAGATATATTGCAACTATTATTATCCCTGTTTTACAGATGAGGAAACTGCACTCAGAGAGACTAATTTCAAACATTTATTAAGGACCTACAGTGTTCACAGTCCAACAGCTAGGAAATGGGGCCAGGTTTTCTGACTTCCAGGCCAGTGCCCTTTCTCCTATAGCATATCAATCAGTCAAAAAATATTTATTGAGCATCCATGTTTTGTTCAGGTGAGATCTGTGTTTTCATTGGTTCAAGAAGTTCTCAGTAAAGAACTTCCCCAATCAACACAAATCACACCTTCTCTGCAACTGATGGTTTTGGAGAGTTGTCTGGGGAGCTAAGAGGTTAAGTGACTTGTCCAGGGTCACATAACCAGTATGTCAGGAAGGGGCTTGAACCCAGGTAGGTCATACTGACTCTGAGGTCAGCTCTCTATCCTTTTGGAACATTGCCTTTAATGTTTATTGTAAGTAACCAAATAATTTTAGAGACACAACTCAGTTCATCTTTGAAGAAAAATAATAAAATAGTGGGGCAGCTAGGTGGTGCAGTAGATAGAGCATTGGTCCTGGAGTTAGAATGACCTGAGTTCAAATCTAGCCTCAGACACTTCACACTTAACTATCTGTGTGACCCTGAGCAAGTCATTTAACCCCAACTGCCTTGCAAAAAAATAAAAATAATAAAAATAATAAAATACATTTCCTACTTGTTAATTTTGTTAGATCGTAGAGCTGAAAGGAATCTTGTGAGGGAATCTAGTCTATTTCCATGGCTTTGTCTAGGAGGCCATTTATATTTAGAGTGATTGAGCCCTTCCTGTAACATGAACCTAATATATTCATGTTCTATTTTACCAATTTGTTGACTTTTTGTTGTTATGTTGTTGACTGCTTGCTCCTGGAGAACTCAAGCAGACAGTCCTTCACTGGCCACCTTTTTACAGCCTAAGGAATGAGAGTTTCCTTGATAGCAGGGTCTTGGGTCTCATTCTAGGAGTTCCATCACTACAATTATTGGCTAACTTTAGTGTCACCAGCTATACAGAACTCTCTCTCTCTGTCTCTCTCTGTGTCTCTATCTGTCTCTCTATCTCTATCTCTGTCTCTTTCTCTCTCTCTTTATCTCTGTCTCTGTGTCTGTCTCTCTGTCTCTCTCTCTCTCTCACACACACACACACACACACACACAGAAAGGTTAGTGCTGATATACTCTTAGACAAAGCTTCAATTTTGAATATCATGGCAGACTTGTAAATCACTACCTCTTCATTTGGCAAAGATGTTTATGCTGGAAAGAGGTTTCTGAAACAAGGTCAGGGTGCTGCCCTCTCACTGTCTACATGGGGTGTAGCCTATTGCAGATTATGGGATTGAAATTGGTCCATTTGAGCATTTTGGGGTATTTTTCCAGATTTTAAACTGAATTTTAATTTTCTCCACAGAGAAACACATTCCAGGCTGTCTTAGCTTCCTCTGACTCCAGTTCATACGCCATTTTCCTTTACCCAGAAGATGGTTTGCAATTCTACACCACGCACTCCAAGAAGGATGAAAACCAAGTTTCTGCTGTGGTTGCATTTAGTCAAGGCTCCGTGGGTTTCTTATGGAAAAGTGATGGTGCCTACAACATATTTGCTAATGACAGAGAATCCATTGAAAATCTGGTCAAGTATGTTTTCTTTGTTCTTGAGTAGACATTCCTCTCCTTGCCATCTTCTGTCCGTCTAATTAATAAGCCACTTTGGCTCTTCCCATTTTTCAAAGTGGCATGGTTATATGCAAAGTATACCACCTGAGGGTGCCTGTCTCCTACAAATTACTTTTTTAATACTATAATTTAAAATTTTTATTGATATTATTTATTTTTATATCAGCTTTGTTTCCAGATATAGCCCTCTTCCGCCACTACCCAATGAGTCATCCCCTTTGACAAAGAATAAAACAGAAAGAAAAAAGAAGCAAAAAAAGGCACTGGCCAGTCTGGGCAGGGTGAGGAACCTGTGGCCTTGAGGCCACATGTGGCCCTCTGGGTCCTCAGGTGTGTCCCTTTAACTGAATCCACACTTCACAGAACAAATCATTGTTCTGGACCAACGTATAGGATCATATAGGATCATAGCTGTACAGCTGGAAAGAACCTCAGAGACCACCTAATTCAACCCCTTCATTTTACATATAAGGAGGTTAAGTGACTTACCCAGGATCACACAGATAGTAAGTGTCATAGGTAAGCATGGAGCCTTGCCTCTCTAACTCCGAGGTGAGTGCAGTGCTCTTTCCACTGAGCCTAACCATATCTGTAATATTCCACAATCATGGACTATCACTTAAATAGTTCCTTTTTGGGGGATGAGTTTGTTCAGCTGTGAGCCAAGTAACCATATGTCTCATGTTTATGGGATTGTCCTGACTGCCAGCAATTCGTGTTATCATCCCAAGGGGTATGAAGCACCAAACCCTTCTCTTACTGTGAGCCCAGGCTCTGAGAAAAAAATACCCCAAAACTTTCTACCAGGAATGGCTTTCAGGGTAGGAAGGAACAGAGGCAGCATGCTCCCATGAAAAGAATACTGGATTGGGAGTAAAGGACCTGGATTCAAATCTTGACTCACTCACAATTTTTGTGATCCTGGGCAAGTCTCTGCATCTCAGGGCCTCAGTTTCCTCATCTTTAAAACAAGGGGGTTGGGCTAGATGACTTTATGGTCCCTACTAGTTCAAAAAATCTATGGTCCTACTTTGTTGTGCAGAATAGGGCAAAAGGGGGAGATATTTATACTGGAGTTTCCTGGGACCCACATTGTCTATCTCCCTTTGATTCCCCTCTCTATGATGGGCTGGTCAAGGGGAAACCCAGCAGCTTTCATGTAGCAAGTTCTGACTTATCATTCACCTGTCCCCAGGCTTCCACCGCTCGAGCCTAAGGCATTTGCGTTGATCAGATATCCTATTCAAGATTAAATTCAAGATTACCTTGAATTTTTCCAACTTGTGCCTTTAAAATCTTCTTGAGTGGCATGTCATCCTTTTCCAATCTATCTGCCCTTTGTGTAAATAAAATTGCTGTTGAACATTTTAAAATGTCTGTGGCATAGGCAAAATAGTAAAATTTTTAGAAAGGAGTGGGGATTAAAGAGAAAAGGAAAGGGGATAATCAAGAAAAAGGTATGGGTTTAAATGGAAGGGAGGATGGAGCATTTTTAGTAGCTTGATATTAATCACTAAGAATCTTATTATATACTGAGGATTTTCACCAATAAGATGGGAATCAGTAGCATTTTAAGATAAAATAGCTTCTCTTAACTCCACCTTCTAAATATCTCGAAGGAGACTTGTTTAATTGGGAAAACCTTCTCTAGTATTTGTGAGCAAAGAATTTTTTGTGCTCGTTAGTACATAGCATAGCACATCCCAGTAGCCCTGGAAATTCTTGGTCCTGTGGCAGGTCAGATATCCACCCGTTTGAACCCATTCTCCCAGTCCCTGCCACTTGATAAGCATGCTATTTTGGTTTGCTACAGAAGATTTCAGACACAAAGGTCTGAAGGGTGGGGGAGAGTCTGTTTTATATCTGTGTGGGCTATTTATGATTTGTTTACTAATTTTGGATAGGAATGCTTTCTGAGAGCTGCTGTCCTATTTTTCCCTAGGAGCAGCAATGCAGGACGTCAAGGTGTCTGGGTTTTTGAGATTGGGAGCCCTTCCACTGCCAGTGGTGTGGTGCCAGCTGATGGCAGCCTTGGATCTGATGGCACAGAATATGAAGATGAGGAAGATGAAGACTATGACCTGGTGAGCGTGTCTGAGAGGTCTCTGGGCTTGGAGGATGTGGGCACCACAATTGACCCTTATGATGTCCCCAGAAGGGGAGATGAAGACACATATGATTTGTTAAATCCCATCTCCCCGCGTCACGCCAGTACGGAGAGACCACCTCTAGAAGAACCCATTGTGGTGGATCAGTATCCGAATCCTTCTAGTAGGGGAACCAAGTCGTTCCCATACCCAGCTGAAGGATTTCCCCAGCAGCATGCACAGGTCATAGACGTGGATGAAGTAGAGGAAACAGGGATTGGTAAGGCCATTTAACTTGCTATGGGTACATGTTTGGGGACTTTACTTTGAGAAGGGGAGGATTAGTGTTTGAGTTGCCTGTGGTGTAAAATACGGATAATTCTGGTAGATTTGCAATATAGAGTTCATAGAATTGATAATTGGGAGGGACTCAAGTGATTATATAGTTCAAGAGTTTTTAACTTCATGTCCAAAGGTTCTCCAGAGGGTCTGTGGCTAGATTTCAAGGGATCCATGAATTGGGATGTTTTTTTTAAAAAAACTCATCTTTATTTTTGTTAACCTCTAATTGAAATTTAGCATTTCCTTTAATTATTAAAAAGTGTTCTTTTTTTTTTTTTTTTTTTGGTGAGGGAATCAGGGTTAAATGACTTGCCCAGGGTCACATAGTTAGTAATTGTCATGGGTCTGAGGGCAGATTTGAACTCAGGTCCTCCTGACTCCAAGGCTGGAGCTCTATCCACTATGCCACCTAGGTGCCCCTAAAAGTGTTCTTTAGAAAAGGGTCTGTAAGCTTTACCAGTATATGAAAGGGAGCCATGACCAAAAAAAAAGTTCAGAACCTGTGGTCTAGTCCAACCCCACCACCATCACCACCATCATTTGACTGATAAGGAAACTGAGTTGGGTAGAGCAGCAGTGTGCTGGTAAATGTTTAACAACTGGCTCTCCAAAAACAACAACAACAAAAACCATGTATACATAACATGCTCTTAAGATTAATCTGCATCATTAACATTTTCTCTATCACTTCCTTAAGTCTAAAAAAATCAACAAAACAATAAATCAAGCCCTGATTTGTAGTATTTGCTAACATATAAATGCTCAGACTAAAAATTTAACAATTAACTCTCTCTCATAAGCCTTTTTGAGCTGGCTCCATCACACCCCTATGATGGGACGTGAGCTTGGAGGAGAGGATGTGGTCTGATAGTTTGTAAAACCTACAGTTAGAAAGAGTTGTAATGTAGACATCAGGTCTTCAGAGACTGAATAGCTTTTTAGAGTTGGAACTGTGACTATGGAGATAATGTCAGGGTGCTTTCTCATTTCTCCTAGCATTCCATCCCAGCCATTTGAAAGGATGTTTAGAAAATATGAACTTGAGGATCCTATATTCTTATTTGTAACTTCTAATATATGAGATAGAATGTAAGAGTTGAAAGGGACCTTTGGGGTCATCTTGTCCACTCAAAGAAAAAAGTCTCTTTCGTCCAATCTTTTCTAGTAATGGGGAACTCACTATCTCACAAGGCAGCATGTTACATTTTTTTAAAAAGTTATTTATTTTATTTTAAACTTAAGAAATGAAACAAGCATTTCCATAATGTAGTTTAATAAAAAAAGATGATTGCACATGAAACTGCCAATCTATTGTGTACAACTTGCTATTCCTTTTAAGTAGATAATAAAGTTGTCATGTAACTTTTTTCCCCTTTTATTTTATTTCTTCTATTTTATTTATTTTCATCCTAGAGATGGCTATCATTAGACACAAATATGTACATATAAGTAAAATCATTCTATGCATACTTTTATTTATCAGTTCTTTCTCTGGGTACAAACAGCATCTTCCTTCGTAGATCCTTTATAGTTAATCTGGGTATTTATAATAGTCAAAATGACTTAGTTGCTCAAAGTTGTTCTCAAAACAATATTGCTGTTACTGTAACAATATTCTCTTGGCTCTGTTCATTTCATTCTTTGTTGTTTTGTGCATTTTCAATCTCCTCCAATTGTTAGAAAGCTCTTCCTTATGTGGATCTGGACCCTGGCTCCTACTCATCCTATTTCTTACCTTAGCACGTAAACATAATAAGTAATTCTTGTTCCATATTATAACCCTTTAAGTACTCTAAGATAGCTTGATTTCCCTTCTAAGTCTTTTTCTTGTTAACCTTAGCATTCTCAGGCCTTCTATTTATCCATCTGTCAATCAGAAATAATTTTATAAGTTCTGTCTGTGGTATTTAGGATAGTTGAGTTTTCCTTTGGTAACTCCTATATCTGTTGCTGCTGTGGTGGTCTGTAAAAACCACAAATACAATATGGCAAACCTCTGTTTGTAAGCTGGTCTTGGGGTATAGGATTTAGTAACCTGTCAGGATAATAGATAAGATTTTATGAGATGGTTGGGATCACCTACTACCTCCTGCCCCCCATTTTATAGATCAGGAAACTGAGGCTCTAAAATGTGAAAAGTTTGCCCAAAGTCAGGCAGATAGCAAGGGACAGAGCTGGTATTTGAACCCAAGGGCTCTGGTTCCAAATCCATTGTTCTTTCCCCAAACCACGCTGGTCATATGTGTGTTTCTGAGGCAAAAAATCTGACCTGCAGTGATCTGAATCTGGGTTTATAACAAGGCTCTTTTGTATTTCTATTAAAAATAATGTGTTCATTAATTTTTTTTAATGCTCACATGATATAATTCAGCAAAATAGATTTAAATGGGGTAGATCCAAGTCTATTTTATATTACCTCTTTTAAATGATGATAATAACTCCTCCTTACGTAGTGGCGTAGAGGAGAGAGCATTGGGCACGATATCAGAAAGACCTGGGTTCAAAAATTCTACTTTAGACATGAGCAGTGGGACTCCGCACAAATCACTTAACTGTTCAATGCCTCAGTTTCCTCATCTGTAAAATTAGGAGGTTGGGCTCAGTGGCCTCCAAGTTCCCATCTGGCACCAAGCCTATGATTCCATGGTCCAAATGTATACAAAAGGCTTTATTCACGCTAGGACCATGGAAGGTTAAAGCAAGTGTTAATTTCCACTTTAAAGATGAAGGACTACGGCTCAGGTGAAATGACTTCCCTGTGACTCCTTAGTCAGTCCGGATCAGATCCTACCTCTTCTGCCTCCCAGATGGAGGCCCTTCTCATAGTCTCACTCTACCTTTTCAATGACATTTGCATGGTCTTATCCCCTTCTGTAAAGTTATTACAAGGCTTGGAGAAGTTCTATTGTTTCATTTTTATCTCCTTGTTGTGATTTGCTATGTGGCCAGCAAAGGCAGTCATAAGTCACATTTTGTGCTTGAACTTCATTTGAAATTCCCAAAGAAAGCAACGGGCAAGATGTGGAGATGTGGCGATGTGGCGATATTCTGATTCCATGAAGGAGCTGTCAGAGGCAGAGAAAGGTGGTGATTTACTCCAGGTCACGTAACAAATTGGTGGCAAGATGAGGAAAAGACTGCCTTATTTTGATTCCTGACTGAAAGCTAAAGACATCCGCATTCCTTCCTTTAAACATTTCATCACTGGTGTCTTACATGATACTAAAAGTTCCTAGGAACATGGCAATCTGCCTCTTAAAACTATGTTTCCAATTAATCTTCCCCAGATGTTTTGGATGCATTTCCTTCAGATGTACTTATTCACTTGCAGATGTCTAGTTTGATTCTCATTCTATTTCCTGCCATGTTTCCACCCTATCTAGGTATGTCTGAATTTCTCACTTGTGAAACGATCTTATTTTAAGCAACACCATCTCCACCTCTCCTAACCCATGGTGGGATATTTTGTATTTGTTGAAAGGAGATTTATGCTAGTAAAAGCCTTGAACTGAAAACCAAAATCTGCCCTAAAATCAGGTGTTATTCCCTCTCCTGTTCCTTCCCAGCTCTTTGACTGTTTTCATTAGCAAGTGAAAAATGACTTCACCCTAGCCTTCAATGTATTCTTGTTGCTATCCATGGAGGCCCCTACTGACAGACAGGCAATAGGGAAACTACTTGAAAGCTTGGGGCACAGTTGGAGGTTGGGTAATCAATAGCATTACAAGTGTGTTTGTTCAGTTAAAGGCCCCGATTTCCTTTCTTCCCAGCTCCCTCTTTATACACCCCCTGAAAATGTCCCTTATGTGACTCCATTCCTGGAGGATTAATAGAAATTACATGTGATTAAATTTCTGTTGCTTTTGACCTCACTCATGTGTTGGCTTCTAATTATGCACGGGATTGTTATCACAGCCAGAAACTTACTCCCTGTTGTGTTTAGATAGACCACATACAAAATTAATTTGCTCTGGATTGTTCAATTAAATGAGCTAGTTCATAGTTGTGGTAAGAAGGAACCACATATTTAAAGATGAGATCTTTAAATAGGAAGTTTTTTTTTTCCTTTTTCTTTGATCAAAGGTTTTTAAGCTAGGTGTGACCACGTTTGTGAAAAACATTGGGGAGTAGCTTACCTAGGTGTGGTATGAATGCTATCTTCTGATTACTGACTTAGGCTTCTATATTGCCTATTGTGAGATGGTGGTCCTCCACCTATCTGACGCTACCTTCAGATTTATTCTCATAGGCCTGGCACTTTAAAGTGGATATTAAGTGAGGCAGTTCAATCCACAGAATGAATTTGTACTTCTGTGATAGTAAGTATCCCATGTAACAGTAGTCCCCTCTAGCTAAACAGCTAAATTCTCTGCTGTGTACCACCTACTCTGCCTTCTGAAGTAGGATGTGGCAGTCGGGGAAGGAAGAAGTCATTGGATTTGTTACCTTATTTAAGAAATAATTATCGTTAATCATAAAAATTTCCCAGATTGACGAAAATCATTGCACATTAGAATTTGGGAAACAATGTGGCTTAGTATAGGGTAAGTCATTTAAAAAGGCACGGCATTTCAGAGTCAGGATGTCTGGGGTTCAGGTCCTGTCTCTGATATAGCAAGTCACTTAACGACTCAGCGTCCCAGGCAACTCATTGTTAGAGGGATTTTTTTTCCTTAAGAGTTCTCTGTACACCCCCCACCCCGCCCCGCAAAAAAGTTGTTAATTATGTTTTGAACTCAGACTTTCCCATCTTCCTTGGTTATTTGAGTAATGGTACCATTCCCATTTCAATGACCCTCCCCCTCCTTTTTTTTTCTCTGTAGTGAATTTTGCTTTTTATAGCTATGTTCCATCTCTCCTATTATGGAGAAATTCCTCTCCTATTATTCGAGGAATTATGAATTCCTCGAAGTGAGAGGTTCTTTACCTTCTTTTGTGTTCAAAAGGATTCATTATGGCAGTTTGGTGAACCCTATGGACCGCTTCTCAGAATATTTATTGTTTACATTCATAGTTGGAAAGGCGTTTTAAATTTCAGTTAAAGGTTACTGAAACTAAAGATGTAACCTTTCCACCCCAACCACATTCATAGACCCCCTTGAAATCCAGTGGTTGAGACCCCACATTCAGAACCCCTGTTTTGATAGAATACTATTGTGCTATAAGAAATGACAAAAGGGGTGGTTTCAGAAAAACCTGGGAAGACCTACGTGAATTGATGCAGAATGAAGCAGAAGTCAGCGAGGAGATCATTGCACATAGTAATAGCAATATCAGTAATGATGTTCAACTGTGAAGGATTTACCTCTTTAATCAAGACAATGATCCAAAACAATTCTAAAGGACTCATGATGAAAAATTCTGTCCACTTCCAGAAAGAAAACTGATGAACTCTGAGTGCTGATTGAAACATACTATTTTTCACTTTATTTTTCTTGGGTTTTTTTTTTGGTGATATGGCCTAATATGGAAATGTTTTGCATGATTTCACATATATAATTGAAATCATATTGCTTGTCTTCTCAATGGTTAGGGGAGTGACTGGAGGGAGGGAGAGAATTTGGAACTCAAAATTAAAAAAAAAGAATGATAAAAATAAAGAAATTTTTTTTTTAAAAGAAGAACCTGTGCTTTAGATGTGGTGTAAGGAAAGGCATCTCAATGTATAGTTACAGGTAACACTCACAGAGGCCCTCACTGGAGCGTTATTTTTTTTTCGTTTTAAACAGTTTTCAGGTACAACACTGATTCTCGACAGACTTGTGCCAATAACAGATACCAGTGCTCCATTCATGCACAATGCAGAGACTACCCAACAGGTTTTTGTTGCCATTGTGCCGCTGGATACACTGGGAATGGTAGACAGTGTGTTGCAGAAGGTGAGTAACTCACTTATAATGGATTTAATGAGGTGTTGGGTGGGGTGGCAGGGAAGAGAATGCTTGCTTTTAAATTGCTGCCTTCATCCAAGCCTCTGGAGACATTTAATGCTTTTAGAAGTGGGATGAGGGAATTCTCAATACTAGAAAGGAGGTTGGTCACCAAGTGATGGCACTTTTAGTTATGGGGCCTCATGAAATATGTCTCCCAAAGAGTGGAAGGGTTATCATCCACACTGGTAGAGTGAGTCTCAGGTCATTGAAATTACAGATCCTTAAAGTACTAATAACAATTAAAATATACCTAGATGATGCAAGTGATTTTGAATCTCCTACTCCCTGAACTTACTTTGTACTTTGCTAATGGACTAGCTTTAAATCTGCTTGTTCTGGTTTGAGTAGGTCTGTTTCTTTCCCATACTATGTATTTTTTTTTAATCTTAGATGCTTCAGCCCTTAGTGTAGATAAGCCTAATGCAAGGGCATGGGCAGAAATAGTGAAATTAGGTAACTAGGGGCTGGAATCATTAATATCTTTTAATTTTCCCTGCTTTCAACTCTTGGTTTTTTTTGTTTTTGTTTTTGTTTTTTTTTGTCTAGATGATGGGGTTAAGTGACTTGCCCAGGGTCACAGAGCTAGTGAGTGTTATGTGTCTGAGCTGGATTTGAACTCAGGTCCTCCTGACTCCAAGGCCGGTGCACTATCCACTGTGCAACCTAGCTGCCCTCAACACTTTCTCACCGTCCTGTAAACTCTACTAAATCCTATTTGAATTTGTTAGCAAAGCAATATGTTTCCCAGATGTAGTTCTATAAACCTAATAGGTTGTTAGATTCTGGGGCTGTCCTTAAAAACATTGTGAATTTGGCAATCTGTTAAAACACACCTCCTCCTCTGGCTTCACTTTTCAGTTCCTTTTGCCAGGTGCCCTTGAATCAGATAAGACAAGGCCTGGTACTTTGGAATTCAAGGGTGAATAAATCATTAGACTCCTAGATCAACTCCATTGGTATACATCCAGTGATTGAGATCTGCTTTAGCTGTGTCCTGCCCCAGAAAGATATGGTTTGGTTCTTGATAGACCCAATCATCACAAAGGTTCCTGATTGATTGTATTGGTCTCAGCCTCTCTAGTGATGCCAGTTCTCTGAAGTAGCTCTGGGGCCCCTCGAACCAACTCAGCATTCTATGGCAGCCAAAACAGCTTCTGTGTATTCAAAATAAAGGAGGTAGTAGTCTTCTGTATTCTTACAGTCATAGACTCTATCTGTACAACTTTATGCAGCTTTGATAGCAACATTTTAGGAAGGATGTTGACAAGCAGATTTTTCTGTTTGAGGAGGATTGGAGATCTTGGCATATGAGGAATGAGGAATGTTTATCCTGGAGAAGAGGAGGCTAGAGGGGACTGAGCTAGCTGTCTTCAGTTATATGAAGGGCCGCCATATAGAAGAGGGATTAGGCTTGTTCTTTTTGGTAGGGCTAGGACAAAACTGGGAACAGTAGTTTAATGTAAAATGATTAGAACTATCTAAAAGTGGAATGAGCTACCTTGGGATGTAGTGGATTCTTCCTCACTGCAATTCTTCAAATGAAGGCTGTATGACTTGTTGGGTATCTTGTAGAGGGGAGGATCCCTATTTAGATACAATTTGAACTAGACAATCTTTGTAGTTTCTTTGAATTCCACAAGGACAAAGAATAATTTTTTTTTCAGTTTCCTACAATTTCCTTCTTTCTTTCTTTTTTAAAAGTTAAAACAATGACTTTGTTTTTACATCACAGTCATTTCTGAATATAAACCTCTCTTCTTAGCCTTCCATGAGCTTTCTCTTATAACAAAGAAAAAAAAAAGTTAAACCAGACCAATTAACATACCACTGCAGGAGTAGAAAGCTACAAATAAATCTTTGGGGGAAAAAATCAACCTTATCAGTGTTGGAAGCAAGAAGATTTTCTGTTTTACAGCAAGTTCAGAAATTAGACCCTTCTGTAATTTATTTTTAAATTATGCACACACACATATTTGAACCAAAAAAAATGGCTTTATGCCTTAAATATTTGTTGGCTTTCTTCTTATTTTTAAAAACTTAATTTTTCAGTTGAAGATTTGACATTTCATTCCCTTACCCTCCCTTCATTAGCTTAACTTGGCTCAAGTCTTTATTGTAATTGTTCCTAGGATGCATTTTTTTAGTATTAGTCTACTGAATTCATAACATTCTCCAGTGTCATGAAAAATTTGTATGGAAAACTATGCCAAACTCAAAATGCTATACAGTAAACTGCCTAGTACTCTAGATTAGCTACTTGTAGATATGGAAAACAGCTAGATAATAACAGAGATATGGAATCCACCCAGGTGTGAGTTTAAGTATTTTGTGCTCATTCATTCAATTGTTTAATAAATATTCATGGAACACCTACCATATTAAAGATACAGAATCACAGAATCTCAGAGTTGGAAAAGAATTCTAAAGTCATTTAGTCCAACCTTAACAAGTTGTCCATCAATCTTCCACTAGAAAATCTCTAGCTAGGGAGAACCTACTACCTCCTTAAAAAAGAAAAATTGGTATCTGTTGTTGTTAAATCATTTTTATTTCCAAATGTATCCCTCTCCCTCCTCTACCTAACAAGCCATCCTTTGGAACAAAGAATAAAACAGTTCACCAAAACTAACCAATGAGTGGAGAAGATATGCGAAGTTATGTGATATTCCACACTCATAGTCTCCAATCTCTGCAAAGAAGAGAGGGGTCATGTTTCCTCAATTCTTTTCGGAGGCTGAGCTTGGTTAATTACACAGACTTAAATTCTACTTTTTTTTTTGTACTTTCTCTTTACATAGTTGTAATTCCTGTGCATATTGTTTTATTGGTTCTGATCATTTCACTTTGCATCAGTTCGTATTGATTTTCCCATGTTTCTCTGAATTCTTCACATTTGTCTTTTTTCACAGTTTAGTGATCCATTACATTCATGCACTAAAATTTGTTTAACCATTCCTAAATCTGGGAATATGACCCATACTTGGCCCCAGGGTGGAGAAAACACTCTGCAAAGTAAATACCATTTGAGTTAAGTCTAAATTCCTTTTGCCTAGAGATCTTATTTGAGTCAGGTCACCCTCTTCCCCAAAGTGATTGGTTTCTTAGTTCTAGTAGAAGTTCTAATCTGTGTTGAGCAAACTTCTTGTGTTAGCCATCACATCTCTAGGAGGCTGGAATATTTGTGGGGAAAATGAGAGCTTTGGATGATAGGTCTAACTGTTTGGGGGCCATTGAAAGATTAACTTCTCCAGATCTCTATGTATATTTCAATCAAGCCCATGCCAGAAAACTAAATTAGGCTTATTCCAGAGTGTGAGACCACAGGAATTCTTTGAATCCAGGACCAAGACAGAGAGTCAAATGGAATGGAAAGAACAGAAATACATTTAAGGACTTACTGTGTGCAAGAACTGTGCTACATGCTGGAAATACAAATAGAAAATCCAGACAGCCCCTGCTCACAAAGTGCTCACCCTCTAATAGGGGACAGACAATACATATAGAACAGCCAGCTAGAGGATGTATGGAAAGTCCCAGTACTCTCCAGGGCACAGTCACAGGACTGATGGTGAGGCCCAGAGATCTTTAGGGTGTACTGTTGGGAGGGGGAGGGCAGGATTTGGGCTGGAGCTTTTGGAGGAAGAAGTCTTACAGTGGTTCCAGTTCCAAGGCCCTGGGATTATCTCCGAGAGGGCAAGGCTTAGGCTGGGGTGGTCGGGATGGGACATTTTAGGATGAACGGATCCTCTTCCATTCAGAAGTAATGATGGATGAGATAATATTCTTGTGTCATAGGCTTCCCATTAATTTTCTGGATGACAGTGATATATTTTGCTGTTGTTGTTCAGAGGCATATTGTAGATGTGGTATACACAGAGGGATTTCCCTGATCTCATAACAGAGCCCCAATTACGTAATGATGTTTCATATCATATTTTTCATTTCATTATCAACTTTTTCTTAAATTTAGTCCTGAAAAGGACAAGCTTCTTAGCTTATCCTAATGTAGTACATCCTGGTACTGTTATCATGGTTTGGTTTCTCCAGGAGTAGGAACTTAGGATAACATAAGTTATTCCTCCCCGTTTTTTGAAAGACTGGCTTGAAACTAAAATCTCTGTGGCTTGTGGGTTTTGTTTTTTTTTAAGAAATCTTTTGTTTTCCAAACAGGTTCTCCCCAACGAGTTAATGGTAAAGTTCGAGGAAGGATCTTTGTAGGGAATAGCCAAACTCCAATTGTCTTTGAGAATACTGACCTCCATTCTTATGTTGTGATGAACCATGGGAGATCTTACACAGCCATCAGCACCATTCCTGAGTCCCTGGGCTATTCTCTGGTACCCCTGGCTCCTGTGGGAGGCATCATTGGATGGATGTTTGCTATTGAGCAGGAAGGATTCAAGAATGGATTCAGTATCACTGGTAATTTCCTTATATCACAATCTTTGAATCAACTGGCCTTTTCCTAGAATGTCTGTGGAGACTGGAGATGGTGCTGGGTATTGGGCATCAGAAAGGAACACTACGCATGGGTGGAAAACATTTCGAAGATCATTTTGGTCTCTGTAGGCAGAGCACACCGTTAATTGTATTCTTTATAATATAATGAAGGCAAAAGGTGCTGTCAGTTTTCAGTGAGAGGTGCTGACAATGTCTGGGGGCTACATCTTGACTTAGCAGAGATTTCATAGCAGAGATAACTGGTAATTTGAAATTCTTTGGCAATGCAAGTGATTGCCATCAGTGCATACCTGACAACACAACCCCAGGCCTGAGCTCACATAGGCTGCCACATTCTGTAGGCTATTAGGTTTCAGGTTCAAAACTTAAGAGGCGTTTGACATCTAGCCCTTTCTTGCTGCGTTAAGAGGGAAAACAAACATCTATGTTTTCTTGAGCTGATTTTTTAAAGGGCCTCCGTTTCCTTATCTTCAGCATGATGGGGGTTGGCCTAGATGATGTCTGAAGTTTCTTCTAGCTCTAGATCTTATGTTCAAAGAAGGTAATTTAGCAGTAGCAGATTACTTGACCAATAATTCTCTGAGAATAAAGGAAGCCCTTTTATAACTAAGTCATTGTCTTTGAAAATCTCCATGAATCATTCAAAGCACAGGGAAAATTACACACACAGAGCTTTTGCTTGTTCCCTCCCAGATGAATGCAAATGGGGAAATCCCACATAGACCCATAAATTTGTCTTCCTCACGTCTCCTCCAGCTTCAAGGGCCCGATGCCCCCTAGTTATTTTTTTTCTTTCCCTTTCTAACTACTAAAACAAGAAAGGATCAGAAGTCAATCTTTATATGTATTGATTAGCTGATTGTCAAATGAATTACTTTCACTGTGTTACCTCAACCAGCATTGGCATGTTAAGTTTTCTATCTCTAACTGTGGAATAAAAGACTTCCCTTCTTGCCTCCTTCCCTATCGATGTTGACAGCAAAAAAAGAAAAAAGAAAAAAGAAAAGAAAAAGAAAAAAAAAAGTCAGCCTCTTCCCTCCCCTTCTGGCATGATTTTAGTTCCTACTTAATAATACTTTCCTGCAGAAGCCTCTTGGGATGTGTCCTTATACTGCCTGGGTTATACTTCCCCCAGTAACAACCTTTCTCATAAAGAAATATGTCATTGAAATGCATCCTCTTTGTTAATGGAGCAATGCCTGGGGGCAGAATTAAAATTCTTCTATGTCGTATTAAATCCGCTGAGTCTTCATGTCCCACAAACATTTGTCAATTAATTAGGACAATGTCTTGAATATAGTGCATCTTTCTTAAACATTCTCCTTAGTTATCATCATCACAGATGTTCATTTAACAAACATTTATTAAGTGCTTGCTGTGTGCATTGCACAATTCAGGATACAAATGAAAAGGAAGACAGGATTCTTCCCCTTAGCTTGTTTATCTTCTAGGATGTGAGACATACCAGAAACAACCAGAGAATATAAACAAGTTAAAGATAACATACTACATTACTTCCCTAACTGTGACCACATTTGTGAGAGGCCACTATGTGTTTTTTAAAATGGGTGGTCCAACCTTTAGAATATTCTGATTTCTAAATATTAACATTTTTTCTTCCCATCTTAGTCCAGGTCCAAGATCCATAGCCATGACCATTTTAATGGTATAACTATAGGAACTGATATTTATATTGTTTTTTAAGGTTTATACAAATTTTTTTAATGTATATTACCTCATTGGAACTTCATGTGAGATAATTATTGCAAATTTTATTATCCCCATTTTTCAGATGAGAAAATTGAGGAATAGTAGATTTTAGAACTGGAAGGGAGACCTTATAGGTCATCTAATCCAACCCCTTCATTTTATAGATGAGGAAACTGAGGCCCAGAAAGATAAAGTGACTTGCTCAAAGTCACCCTGATAGTAAGTAGCAGTCAGAATTTGAACTCAGATCCTCTAATTTCTAAGCCAAAGCTTTTTCTTCTGTACCACCCTAATGAGATTCTTGGTGTTTGGTGGTACAGGATGAAAATTTGAATTCTCACCTCTCAAGAAAACTAGATGCTTTTACTTTTTTCGGTGATCAGAGTACAGTCTTACGTATTTTCTTTGTAGCCAGATAGATAACATGTCAACCATGACATCCAAACCATATCCCTTCTCAAATGGCTTTTGGTGATTGTAATGCTTCAGCGGAAACACAGAAACTTGAAACTGAGTCTTTTTTTTTTTTTGGTTCGTGCGAGGCATTCGGGGTTAAGTGGCTTGCTCAGGGTCACACAGCTAATAAGTGTCAAATGTCTGAGTCTGGATTTGAACTCAGTTCCTCCTGACTCCAGAGCCTGTGCTCTAACCACCGCACCACCTAGCTGCCCCTTGAAATTGAGTCTTGACTTGAGTTTTTCTAGCACTACTTTGGAGAATGGTTTTGTTGCCCTGTTTTAAGCCAGTCTCCCAGGCTTCTTAATCTGTCTTCTTCCCAAATGCCCAGGATATCAGAGAGGTTGAGATGCCATTTCAGCTCATTTCTAGCCTCAACTCATGGCTTGTTCAGATTTAGCTTTTTTTATTAATTGAAAAACAATCATCTTTTATTGGAAATCAATTATTGATTTTAATTTTTTTAGATTACTATTACTTCCTACTAACTACTCCCCTACAAAGCCCTCCCTTAAAACAAAGAAATACTGTCAAGTAAAGCAAACTGATATGTTGACTATGCCTGACCATACACAACTTACTCGATACCAGTAGTTCTTCTCTGCTGAGAAGAGGGAAGCATCCAACATCTTCAGTCCTCTAAGGTCAAGATTTCAATCATCCTATCTCATCCCATTCCTCTTTCTGTGCTGATCCATCTGCCTCAACCAGTTCTGCATTTCAAAATTAAATATGCCACATTCATATAACTTTGGCTTCAGGCAGACATTGAACAGAATTTGTTTTATCTGAGGACCTTTTTGACTTGAAGAGGAGCCTACAAATTAGTAGTGGCAAAAGTAATTATAACGTGCCATGTTGTGTATGTGTTGACTCTACCCATACCGCTTCCAAATTTCACGACTTCCTTTGGATTTAAGCCAGTGCATGGACAGAACCTGATCTTTTCTATTATACTATAGTGAACAAATTAGGCACCAGAAAGTTTCATCTAGCCCTGTGTGGTCCTGTATGTTGAATGTTCTCAGAGTTGAATCTGAGGCAGAGTTAATGTATCCTAGGCAATAACTTTCCTTGGGCTACACTTGGGGTGTGAGTAGATTTAAAGAGGAGATAGCTTGTACACTCCCATCCAAGGACTTTTTTGCCAATCAAATTTGGTGGACCAAAAGAATCTTTTATACTCACTCACAATATTTGCTCAGTCTACATTTCTCTTCTTACTACCTCTCATCCTTCTCAGTAGCCCAGACACCTCAACCTTACAGTTGGGGCTTACATAACCATAGAATGGGAATAGATAAATGTGGGAAAAACAAAGATAGGAGTAGAGAAGAAATACTAATTTAATTTAATTTAATGTTAAATATATTTTGTTGATGTCTTTATATCACTGTCATTTATGGGGGGAGATCCTCTTCCCCCTTACCTCAACTCCCGATTGAATTGTCTTTGAAACAAGGAAAAACATTGTATACAGCAACCACTCTGATGATATATTCAGCATTTCACTCTAATAGTCCCCTGCCTCTGTTCCAGGGGAGGAAGGTATGAGAAATTCATTTTTCATGAATGTGATGTGGCTGAACCACCCTCAGCAGTAGGACGTGTGCTTCTTAGAATTTTTCTAGTAGTGGTGATGGGTTGCACTGAGCCATATTCTTCCTTCATCAGCTTCTGCTGGTTATCAACGACAATGTTAGCTGGCAGGCACCCAGTGGCCATATAGCAGAAGGTAAATTGTCCCTAGGAGGGTTAAACTCATGATTCCAGTCACTTTTACATGTGGTCCTTAACCAAATGAAAGCAAGGATCCAACACAGACTCTTTTTTTTTTTAATTCCACCAGCATATATTTATTAATCATCTATTAGGAGTAAGAATGGACAAAATGTAATAATGGTTCACATTTCTATAATACTTTAAGGTTTGCAAAGTGCTTTACATATATTGTCCCATTTGATCCCCAGAACGACCCTGGGAGGCAGGTACTACCACTTTGCATTTTTTTTTTTTTAGCCAAATGGGGTTAAATGACTTGCCCAGGGTCACACAGCTAGTAAGTGTCAAGTGTTTGGTCTGAGGCCGAATTTGAACTCAGGTCGTCCTGACTTCAGGGCCGGTGCTCTATCTACTGCGCCACCTAGCTACCCCTCACTTTGCAATTTTTTAAACAGCATTTTAAGGCATACAAAAGGCCAAGTGAGTTGCCTAGGGTCACAAAACCAAGTGCAACACAGACTTTTATAGATATATACAAGGAAAATTCAAACCTCCCAGAATCTCAACATGATTACTTTTTTTTGTTTGCTTGGAATTAAGCATGAAACTGTTTATTGCTGGCCCAGTGACAGTTGGATCCAGTAAATTGACTACTCTTTGGTGATTTTACTTTACAGGAGGAGAGTTCACCCGTCAAGCTGAAGTGACTTTTGTGGGGTACCCGGACAAGATGGTCATAAAACAGAAATTCAACGGCATTGACGAGCATGGCCACCTGACCATCACTACAGAGTTGGATGGACGCGTCCCTGAGATCCCATCTGGCTCCACTGTCCAGATAGAACCCTACACTGAGCTCTACCATTATGCCAACTCTGGTGAGCCCAAGCTTCTAGATGAGATGATCTGTGAACCCTAGACTACCTTACTGAGAATCACCCAGCCTCTGTTCAATACAGATTTATTAAGTATCTGCTATGGGATAGAAAGCTATGATTCATACCCTAGTAAAGGGAAATAACATAGAGATTAAAGTTATCACGCCAACTAGAATTTAAGTACATAGGCAAAGTACAGTCACATATTGTGACAGAACATGGGTAAGACAGATGACTAGAGAGGACTCAGGGAAAGCTTCATTGAAAAAGTGGTATCTAGTGGTTTTAAGCTGGGCAAAAGATTTTAATAAGGGGAGATTCAAGATTAAGAGGACAGTGTAAATAATACACAGTGGTAGGAAAGGGCTGAGTGAGTTCAAGGGCCTATATTGGCTAAAGAGGCAATCAGACAACAACAACAACAGCTAACATTCATATATCGCTTACTACGTGCCAGGCACTGTGCTAAGAGCTTTACAATCATTATCTTATTTGATTTTTCCGACCATCCTGGCAGGTAGGTGCTATTATTATTCCTGTTTTATAGATGAGGAAACTGAGAGAGAAGTTAAGTGACCAGGGTTACATAGCTAGTAAATGTCTAAAGTTGGATTTGAATTCAGGTCTTCATTATTCCAGGCCTAGTACTTTATCCACTGTACCCACCTCCTGCTTAAATAATTAAGAAGCTAGGATGAGAATCCACATCCTCTTCCAAGCTCCATATCAAAAAGTTACTAATGTCGGCTATAAGAAGCCAAGAAAATTCTGTGCCTTATTTTTTCTCGCTGTTGAAGAAATGCATAACCCTTTAAATATTGAATCCCACTCGGTTCACTGCCTCTGTGAAAGGTGGCAGAATGTAGTAGTAACACAAAATCCTATAAATGGGTAATTTAGATAGCACTATAAGCAGCATTTTGATATAAGGAAGCCTACTTGTGTAATTTATTTATAATTTTATCTTTTGCTGAGCTCCTATTATGTAGAAAACTACAGTGAAGCATAAAATTGTAAAGGCTCTGTATAAATTTTTGTTTTAAAGCAGGAAGTTGAAGGTAGCCAATGCATGAGTGAATAGAGAGATTACTTTTCCTCTGAAAGCCTTCCTCTCATTGCCTTTCTAGGTTTGATTACTGATTTTTCATAATTCTATGGAATCTGCCTTCTGACACAAAACTAGCTTCCTAACTCTTGGGTCAATTTTGAAATTCTTTTTTTTTCTTTTTGAAATTCTTTATTTAAAAAAATCCCTTAATCCTAGAAAGCCACAACGTACTAAAATAACAGGAGAAAGAAGGAATTTCTAGAAGCAAAGAGATTGGTCCTAGTAAAGGAAAAGTAGTTTTTCTCACCTGTTCCAATCTCTCATCTGGTAGAATTGCAGGTGGGAAGTATTTGGCCTTGGGCTATCATTCCTCAGACCTCCTTCAAGATTTTCTTTCTTGCTGTTGATGACATGCTATCTCCCTGCCTTTTCCAGTTATCACATCCTCTTCCACCCGGGAGTATAAAGTGACTGAACCTGCCCAAGATGGGATCGCTTCTTCACGTACCTACACTTACCAATGGAGGCAAACCATTACCTTCCAGGAATGCACTCATGAAGATCCTCGACAGCCTCTTCCTCCCACCCAGCAACTTTCTGTGGATAGCGTATTTGTCCTATACAACACGGAAGAGAAGATCTTGAGATATGCTTTGAGCAATTCAATTGGTCCTATTGGGGGTAAGTAGAGCAGTAGTTTTATGGGGCTTAAGAGACAGAGAGAGACAGAGAGAGAGAGAGTTTAAATCCATGCTTTGACTTTCCATACTCTTTCTTTCACTCCCAGTCAGTATCTAGCATGATTTTGCAAAGGTGGAGTAAGGAGGGGAAGAATGTCCAAATGCATCCTTTGGCCCAAAGGGAAGATTAAAGCGTAGCGCTTAATCTAAAATGTGGGTCACCTGTCATCCTGTTCCAGTACTCCGTCTAAGATGTTGATGTGCTATCTTAAGCGAAAATGAGGAGTGCATGTAGAACTTACTGTGCATGTTTTTTTTAAAGTCAAGAATAAAGCCAAAGGCATTCCACTGAGTACTTAGACATACTTAGAAAACCAATTTCAACATCTCTACCTTTTCAGATGGCTCCCCTGACTCCCTTCAGAACCCTTGCTACACGGGTACCCACGGTTGTGACGCAAACGCAGCATGCCGCCCAGGTCCAGGAAGTCAGTTCGTTTGCGAGTGCTCCATTGGCTTCCGAGGAGATGGACAGAGTTGCTATGGTATGGCTAATCATCCTGACTCGGGAAGAGTTGGGAGAGGAAGTTAGAGACCCATTCACATAGGATCGAAAGCATTTGACCACTTCTCACTAATTATGCTCATACTTGAGCTCATAGTCCATGGGCTCCTTCCTACATGTTTTCCTTTCCCAAGCAGAGACCATTAGTTACTCAGAAGTGTGTCATGAATTGATTCATGTCTCCCAGGGCATGCCATCACTGTCCTTATATGCCAGGATTGCTTATGGGAACTAGGATCCAAGGCCACAGAATCCCTTGAGCCAGATACAGAGGTTCACTCACTTTGGGTACAGAATTAGCTCCAAGGGTTCATATTCATATGCCCTTTCTCCTTCACAATTGCTCCTTAGTGTTTTATTCCCAAGAATTCATATTTGTACAATTTGTCCCCACCTCCCCTTTACACTGACTCCTTAAGCATTTACTATGTGGCAAGGACTTTGTTAAGTGTTGGGGATACAAGTATGGGCAAAAAGAAAGACAGTACCTGTCCTCAAGGAGCCTACATTCTAATTTTTGAAGATAACACACAAAAGGGAGCTGAAAAGTATGTAGAGAGGTAAAGGCGAGGATGAAGGTCCCTAGTGAGGCAGGGGATGGTTTTAAAGTCCAGAAAATCAGGAAAAGGACTGGGAGGGAAATGAATGCTGGATGGCCTGGGCCCCTCCACAAAATGGCAGCTCCGGGAGGAACTCACCAATGAGAGTAGGGAGCAAGCCTTGTGGAATAATATTCCAGGGTGAGAAGGCTATAGCCAAGGAAATTAGATATTTCAGACCCTAGAGGAATGCTCCCTTTTGTGTTCTTTCTACATCTTCCTCTCCTTTTTTCCCTCTCCCTCTCCTCCTTTCTCTTCCTTCCTCTCCCTTCTTCTCTCTTCCTCCCACCCTGTCTCTCTCAGCCTGCTGCCTACCATCCCTCAGTGTTTCAACTCTTAATATATGAGTAGGAAAAGTATCTCAAGAATTTCTAAACCTGAGTGGTTCAAAATTTGATAGCCATCTATTATATTGTGCCTAGCACAATGTTTGCAGAAAGCAGAAAACCAGGTAAGTCCAAATCAGGTAAAATCCTAATAGAGATGCTTGGATTTGACAGTGATAAGGTGAGCGAATTAATTGAACAACATGTATGTGAGAGGGACAGTTAGGTTCACAGATTTAAAACTGGAAGGGAGTTCAGAGGTTACCTAGTCTAGCCTCATTATTTTATAGAGGAGGACACTGAAGCCCAGGGATGTTAATTTCCAGGTCACAGAGGGAGTAAATACCAGAGGTATGTCCGGAGTTGGTATTCTTCCCACTGCACCATGCTGCCTCATGTCAGACTTTATTGATTGACCTTCATCAGACACCAATACTAAGTTTGATGAATAGAAGTTGTAATACGGTTAATGGAATGATAGCCACCCAACATCAGTAAATCAAAAAGTTAAAGGAATATGGAAGTTGCTGACATCTCTTCCAGGGGCATTTCCCCCTAATCTCAATTCCCTCATTTGTTATCCCCAAACTAAACTCAGATATGTTTTTCTTTTTTTTTTTCTTTTTCTTTTTTTTGCTAGGCATTAGGGCTAAGTGACTTACCCAGGCTCACACAGCTAGTAAATGTCAAGTGTCTGAGGCTGAATTTGAACTCAGGTCATCCTGACTCCAGGGCCGGTGCTCTGTACACTGTGTGTTTGGCCTTTCTGCCAGATGATTTCACCTTCAAAGAGTCAAACTATAAGTTAATATCACACGGCATAAATTCAAGCTGCAGTTCCTAGACTGCGGCCTTTTGGGTTTCATCTACGTTTGATGACTTAGATTATAGATGATTTGATTTTCAAGTCAAACAGTCCCTGCCTTGTAAATCAATATGCAAGGGACAACCAATTGTTTTAATATTTCATTTTTAAAGAAAATCTCATTTTCCCTGGTTGCCATCTTGAAAATTTTTTTTGAAGTTATTATCTTGGAAGGCATGAACATAGTTTGCTTTTTGTCATTATTTTCTCATTCTGGCTTATTAACATCATGGAATGTTGGCATTTTCTTATTCAAGCTGCTCATTGTTCTGGGCTACTAAATCATGCCTCTAAGTGTCAGTGCCTCGTGTCAATAGCCCTTTAAGCTGAAATTGCATTAAGCAGATCACTTCATGTATTATTCCACTGTGGGAAGTACCCAGGGGAGTATGGGAGAAACAGCACTGAAAGTGAGTTAGGCCTTCCCTTTCCAACTGGATGTGCCTGTTGAATTCCATGGCTGCAGCTGTGATCTAATACAATAAAATCTGATGAGCAAAGCGGGGTTGCCTTTGCTCAGTCATCAGATGGGCAGTCTATGGTCCAATTTTCCTAATAATTTTAATTGTGCCAACAGAAGGAATTCTCTTGTTGGAATGCATTCGTGTGTTTCTTCAGAGGTTAGGAATTTCTCAAAATAGATTACTTAAGAAATAAACAGTGCTCACAGAATATATAGCATCAGGCAAGGCACTTGGTGTGTGTTGTATAAGACTGAGCCCCAGTCCTAAAACAGTTTATAATTTCTTAGAAGGACAAAAATAGATAAGTATTTAATGGATAAAATATGGGAAAAGCAAACACACCAAAGCAGAAATAAAAGCAGGAATAGTAATAGCTAGCATTTATATAGTGCTTTAAGGTTTGCAAAATGCTTCACAAATATTACCTCATTTTATCCTCATAACAATCTCTCATTTTGCAGATGTGGAAAATGAGAGAGACAGTTCAAATGACTTGCCCAAAATCACATAGCTAGTAAGTATCTGAGGCCAGATTTGAACTCAGGTCTTCCTAGTTCTGGGTACAATACCCAGTCCACTGCACCACTTAGTTACCTATAATTATAAGTAAATATGTAGGTCAAGGATTTTACTGCAGGTTGGAGAGTGATGGTTATGACAAGGGAGAAAGGAAACATGCATTTATTAAATGCTTACTATTTGTCAGCCACTCTGCTAAACCTTGAGGATTCAAATACAAATAAAAAGACAGTCCATGTACTCAAAAAACTTACATTTTAAAAGGGAGCTGAAAAGTTGGAGGGGGTGGGTAGAAAAGGATGGGAAATGAAAATAGCTGATGCGAGAGCATGATTTTGGAGCCCAGTAAATCAAGAACATGGCCAGGAAGGAATGAAGGTAGGCTGGCTGGGGCACCTTCACAAAAGGAGGGGTCCAGAAGGAATTCAACCAATGGGAGAAGGAAGATGCATCCCGAAGAGGGACATTTCAGAGTGAGTGGGACACAGATAATAGGATGTCACAGGGTGAGGAAGCCTTATGTGGTGAAATAAGTTCAATGGTGAGATAGCAGCAGAAGGATGATTCTGAAGTCCAAAAAAAGAGAGGAATGAAGGCAGGTTGGCCTGGCCCCTTCACAAAATGGAAACTACAGGATGAACAGGGAGAAAATTTTCTTAGAGAGGGAAAGATGACTAGGAACTTAATTTTATGGTCTTTAAGTATATGTAATAATGTGCAAGAGAGATCTCTTTTCCCTTCACTGAGGCAAAAATAAAAGATGCTGACTCAAACTGAAAGAAGTCAAATTTTAGCTAGTGCTTTTCCAATACCTCATGGCATGGGGATTCTTAAAGGCTGTACCAATGGAGCTTAAGCTTTGTAAACAGACTAAGATGACTTTTTGAAGATCAGTCTGGGTAAGTACTGAGAAGCTCATTGCTAGTAGACTGACCATTAGATGATGAATTTTTGTCCATGGTAATTCAGGAAAGAAAGAAAATAAGAAATGACCTTTGTTCTGTGTGACTCTCTTCTGTTTCTGTAATGATCACTGAAGAATGGTAGAAAAGGGTGCCAAGACTCACATAGTTTCTACACCTTCCATAAACATTAACTTACTTGTTGATATGCTAAATGTAAGATTCTTGTCCTCTGACTAATAAGTGAACATACTCATGGAAAGAATGGAAACATATCAATCTTAATGTTCTTGCTGTAAATGAAATTAGAAGGTGAAAGGAAGTTGCAGCTAAACAAAAAGATGGTTCACAGGTTACACTTGGAGAGGAGAATGAAGAAGTAGGTAGAACTAGTCTTAGCATGCTTCCAAAGGCAACAAGAAACAACATTTTGCAGTACCTTTGTTCTAGCACTGCAATGCTCATGATAAATATTTTTTTTAAAAAAACTATCTTGAAAATAATGATAGCTTATGCAACGATATTGGTTGCAAAGGATGAAATGCTGGAGTAATTTTAAGAATAATTCAATAAGACCCTCCATGAAATTAAGCTTCAGGGGTAAAATGAGAGTGACCAAAGACTCATAAAATATACAGAAGCCTTTATCATAAATATTTTTTTCAAGAACAGGCTCCAGACATGTTGGCTACCAAATCATTATACAAAGAATTAACTTGATTATATTTTAATAGACAGGAAATAACTTGTTATGCAGATGGACGTGATTTTTGAATCAGTAGTTCTGTGTGATGTCAGACTCCTTGTTAGAACATTTAACAAAATCAATACAAAATTAGAAGAAAGAATAAAAAGTGAGAGGACATGGTGTGAGATTGAGGCAAATTCAACCTGACTTACTTGAATAAGTTGCTGGTGGTGAAAAGTGGAAAATGGATAAAAGAATTTTAAGGATATTAAAACAGACTATCACCATTTACTAAGGAAATTTAACCAATATAAATGAAATACTAGAAAAACCTAGAAACTATATCAGTTGGCAGATCCAAAGATGAACAGAATCCAGATTCTATCCATGGTGTTTGTTGTTTGTTATTTTTAAAAATGCATTGAGCTTGGTAGAGAAAAAATATTGCCTTAAAACATAGGTTCTTAACATTTAACAAGAGCACCAGATCAAGTAATGCAGAAATACAAGGAGAAAACATAATGAATCATTTTTTTTTTCCAGCCCAGGAAGCAGGAACAGAAGTCAGATAACTGCTGTGTCTCTCTGACCCCAGAGCCAGACTGTGGATCTAGCAT